GCCCTTGATCAAGCCCTACCAGGCCTCCTACACCCTCTTCACCATTGATTTTAGATCACTTGTTGTTCTCTTATCCCTGGGTTTGTTAACACCCACTTCGTTCCCCTGCCCCCCCTGGAACTGTCGGTCCCATTGTTTTCTCCTCCAGGTTGTTTATCCCACCTATCTTATCTAGATAGACCTTCAGAGATAATAATATGCACACACAAAAAGACAGCAAAACATAGCAACAAAAGAAAACAAACAAGAAGAACAACAAAAACCAATGACACACTCAAAAAAGAAAAGCCTACAAATAGTTCCGTGTCTGTCTGTTGACCTTTAGGAGTGTTTTCCAGTCAAGTCTGATGGGGTGCCACGCCCTGACCCCAAAGTCTATTTTTGGTATTCCCTCCAGACTTCCTTGCTCTGTTCCCCTTGCTGTTCTGTTGCCCGCCCTTAGTGTTTTGTCTCCGTGTGGTGGGATCAGATCGAGTGCCATTCCCACACTGTGTCTCCAGTGTTGTCCCCTGTAGGGCTATGAGTCAGTGAGGGACATCATGTCTCATGGTGGGACCAGCCCTATGGTCCTCTCTGTGCATTAGCTGCTCTGAGCAGGAATAGCATCCTCAGGGATAGGTGGGCCTGGATGTATTCACAATGTTTTCAAACATTAGCAAAAATATTATATATTTAGTAAGAAAGATATTTATTAGACTTCTTGTGGTATGTAATAAAATCCCTTATGCTGGAATAAACAATACATCAGACTTAATTTTGAAAAATATTAAAAGAACAAATAAACCAGACACAAAGGGAAGCCTGGTAGATGACATACTACTCTAACATTGTTATAGTTATTATATAAAATTTGAACTAAATATGAAATTAATTAAAAAAAAAAGAAATCTGAACATTCTTATGTATCCTTTATGCTAGTTTTCTCTCTATTTCTCAATTTCTTATCTAAACCCATACATACTTTCATCATGTTAACGGATATAATCATTAGATATGTAAGAATTTTATCTATTATTTTTACATAAAGTCATACATATTTTCATATCTCATTACATAATTCTTATGAATACCACTTTTAATGGTCACCTCATATTCTATTCAGTGTCTTGCTATAAGTTACCTATTTTTCTATTGTTGAACATAGTCACATTCTGTTTGTTTCCTGGACTGGTGCTGGTATTTAGTTATAAGTAGCTCTCTCTGCGCTATGTTGGGAATAGTACTGGAAAATATTTTGCATTTCAAGACTTCCATGAAGAGTTCTTATTCATCACTATACCTGAGGCTGAATTAGTTAGCAGAGTCTTGCTGGCCAAAAAATAAGAAATACATTTTGAACAGATAAGACAGGAGGAATGTGCTGGAACCTAGTGTCGGCGTGGAAGGTCAGATCTGGTGGGCTAGCCTGACACATCAGACAGGAATTAGGTGAGAAGGAAGGAACACCCGCAAATGCCCGAGGGGCCTGTGATTTACAGTATAAAGGCTATCATGTTACCGAGAAATGCAAATATGCTATTTACATAAAGTTTGACTATGTAAAGCAGTAGAAGGGATATAGAGATACAAAATAACTAGGTGGATTTTTGGTTTTGTTTTTGTGTCCTTGGGTCAGAGGAATTTTGAAGAGATGTTACTGGTTCACAGTGCCTCAAGTTTGGATGGAAAAATAATACATTTCCTTGGAAATATTTTTATCAAAACTTTGGGCATGAGTGTAGTGAACAGAGTTCTGAATTTAGAATATGTAAGCAGCCTTTGCCAGTCTTGTTGTTGGTCATTAAATCAGAAGAAACTAGAAATGAGTGTAAGGATTTTGACAACTCACCTATTATTTTTGGACTCTTTCACAGTCCAAATGATCAAGGCATGATTGTAACAAAAGTTCATCTATATTGGAAGGCAGTAAAACAGAACAATGAGAATCTTTTCACGAGTGGACTGAGTTATAATTTTAGAATGAATTTTTGCTCACTAAAGTGAAGTCATGGTCCTGTATAATCAAAATGGCAATACTTAACTTTAAGGATGGAATTGGAGCAACGAAGTAACTTGTCAATGGCATGAATTGTAAATTCTGTGCATAAGTATAGCAGTACTTACGCTGTTTCATTAATTAATGTACCAATATATTTGAATTCTTTATACGTGTCAGGTACTGTTCTAGATGATACAAAAGCTGGAAAAAAAACCAAACCCAAACCCCCAACAAACCAAACTCACTGCCATCAGGTTGATTGTGATTCATTGTGATCCTATAGGACAGGGTAGACCTGCCTCTGTGAGTGCCTGGGACTGTAACTCTTTACAGGAGTAGAAAGCCCAGAGCAGCTGATGGTTTTGCATTACTGTCCTTGTGGTTAGCCACCCAACATGTAGGTACTAGGAGACAGAATGGGGAACAAAAAGCCCCTACCTCCATGGAGGGACTTTTCCTTACATTTCAGTGGAGAGAGAGAGCTATTATACAAGTAAGCAAATATACCTTTTACATTCAGGTACGTTGAATACAAACATAAAATATTGGAAGCGGACCAGCTTTTTGTATGGCAGTCATAGATCTTTCTACGCTTGGGCTCTTTGAATCACGGCTCGAAGGGGAACGGGAAGAAGTTCTGTCCGTTTGCGGGGTGAAGATGAAGAACAGCAAGTGCCATGGTCTTCTGGGAGGAGGACTGTGGGCATGGTAAGATCTCAGGGTGTTTCCCTCCTTTTCACTGACTCTTGACTTTCCCAGGTATGATGTCCTTCTGGAAAGATCCTTCCTGAGAGCACGAGCCAAGGTGGTGAGAAGAAGCCTGGACCTTCTGGACCTTCTGGCTGTACTTTTCCCAAGACACATTTGGTCATTCTGCGTCTGATCCATGCTCATTGTCAACACCGTAATTCAGGTGCATGGTCTTTCTTGTTCATCGTCCAGCCACCACATGCAGGTAAGACCATTGAAATGCCATGACTCGAGTCAAGGGCCCTGCAGTCCCCAAAGTGACACCTTTGCTCTTTGCTAACACTCTTAAAAAGGTCTTTTGAAGCAGATTTTCCAAATGCAATGTACCCATTTGATTTATTGATGGGTGTTGATAATGGATCCAAGTATAACAAAAAGTAAGTATTTTTTATTCATCATGATGTTGCTTATTGGTCCAGTTGTATATATTTTATTATTTCATGTTTCCGTATAACGCATCCTGAAGGCCTTTGGTCTTCATCAATACGTGTTTCTAGTCTTCTCTCTTAGCCAGCAAGTTTCTATCATCTGCCTATCGCACGTTCTTAACGGATGTTCCTCTAATCCTGACGCTGTGTTCTTTATCAT